AAAAATGAATAAACATCTTGAATATTCGATTTCTACATGTGGGTGGGAATCAAACGCCTCTTTCTGCTGATTGGTCAGCTGAAGATCAAACCGTGCCGTTATCAGTTCTTCCGCAGTTTTCGCGCAGCAGAATAATAGTCCTCCTCTGCTGTAGTTGTACGGATTCTTAATGCATTTATTGCAACTACATTACATCTTTTTTCATCAAACAAGCAGACTAATGAATATCTCGACAACTTATTCGTTAGAGCCCAGGCAGGGCTTTCTTCTGTGTAGATATAAATTCTATTCTTTGCATGAGCTGGGCATGGAAGGGTATATGACGGCTGTCATAGCCTACCCTGCTCACCCAGTAAGTCTGTTTGTTTAATTAAGCAATTAAAGAATTAATTTGTTTCAAAATAAATATTTTAAACACTAAGACAAAAAGGAAAGAATAATAAATTGGCTTGGGTATATATAGGCCTATAACATTCACGCAAAGAAGTGTCATCGACTGACAACCGGAGAACAACCTGAGAATTGTGGGGAAGTCGTGGCCTAATGGTAAGAGAGTCGGACTCGTAACCCAAAGGTTGCGGGTTCGAGTCTCGTACCGGCAGGGATTGTAGGTGGGGGGGGTGAATGTACACCTTCAATACCACGACTGAGGTGCCCTTGAGCAAGGCACCGAACCCCCAACTGCTCCCCGGGCGCCGCAGCAAAAATGGCTGCCCACTGCTCCGGGTGTGTGTTCACAGTGTGTGTGTGTGTTCACTGCTGTGTGTGTGCACTTTGGATGGGATAAATGCAGAGCACTAATTCTGAGTATGGGTCACCATACTTGGCCACATGCACGTCATGTCACGTCACAACAGCTATTAGGCGAAATAGCCTACTCTAAGAATTTTATAATGTAATCTTGTTTTATTAATTGATTAATTGATTATAATTGATATCTCAAAAGTATATGCGCTCACACACACGACTGCAATGCAGGATTTTCATAAAATGTAATAACTCGCCATTTCGGTTTGTTTCTCACCACAGTATACCTTCAGAATGCTTGGAATATATGTCACGAGATGCATAGGATTATTTTACGACAGATATGAATCCGCTTAAAAAAAAAAAACTAAAGTCATTAAATTGGCAAGTGCAAGCAGGACATTTTTTGTGTGTGTTTTGAAAAAAAGTAATAAGCCTTTAGAACAACATTAAGGTGAGTACTTGCTCTACTTCACACAGTTCCAATAAATTGCGATGGGTTAAATAAAGTAAATAAGCAGACAGATGCGACTACAGTCAAGCGCAGACCAGTAGGAAAAAAAGCAGCAGTCATAATTAAAGCAGTTTAAATTAATATTGAGTACTGATTGATGTTCACTTGGATTTTTCCCCATCGAGGGGAAATAATTTAATAGGCTACTCTGTCATTAAATAGTCATATGGTAAAATGTATATTTTTATTTGTGTAGCGCTACGTTCAAAATAACTACAAAATGTCATGCCTTTGAAAAATAAAGAGAACAACAGAATGCGCTGCTTTAGCGCGTCTCGGTCTCCTTGAGCATCTTTCCGGTGCATGCCACAAACATGAACCACAGCGAATACTTTTAAAAGGCTTAATTTAGATTTTACAAACTTTACAGTCTGTAAAATACGGTAGGCTATAGCAAATAATTTCGCGGACCCCCTATCACTTTAAGAACAGCTGGTCTACACAGAAGAAAGCCCTGTGTACACTCTGCCCCGGTACGAGTTGTGTTGAGCTATTCATTAGTCTGTTTGTTTGATGAAAAAAGAGGAAATGTTGTTGCAATAAATGCGTTAAGAATCCGAACAACTGCAGCAGTGGAGGACATAGCTTTCAGTCACGTGACTGGCTCGACGACTTGGAGGGCAAAATATCCATAGAACTGCAGCACAAGCCTGTCAATTTTCCGTCTGTTTCCCAGCCGCTAATATTTAGATCACCTCTCAAAAGAATAAAACAAAGTATGTGAACAAAATGCAAGTTTTGGCCATTTGCAATCCATTTTAAGCACCCGCGGCAATATTTCAATCATTAAACAGTGCGACGAAACGTTGTAAAAACACTTAAAGTGCCTTAATATATTTAAAACAGTAATATTAAAAGATCAAATTCAGTAATCACCATATTAATGATGCATAGTTTACATAGGCAAGCAGATGAGGCCGGAATATGAACGCAATCTGCTTAATGGATCAGTTTTCCTTATAATGGTTTTCTATGGGAAACCATTTAATGTGAAACTATGCACATTGTGTTTATATTCTGGGTTCATCTGCTTGCCTGTACAAAATATACATCATCAATAAGGTGTTTACTGAATTTCGCCTTTTAATATCTGCGTTTTACTACATTACTACTTAATGCAATCTGCATAAAAATAACTGTCGGTCAGTGGAGCAAAGCTTTTTTTGCCCTCCAGGTGGGCATTCCTATAAGGGTGTGACGTCACGTGAAAACTATCAATTCTGCTGCTTGAAACTGCGGAAGAACTGGGGCAAGTTCAAGCTCTAACCGGTGCGCAACGTTTTGCTACGGCTTCCGGTTTGAATGACATGTTTCCTGGAAACGGTGTGCAACGTGGTTTGAGATACGTTTTCTCTTGTTTGGTGGGTGTGTCAAAAATGTCAGCCCAATCAGCAGCAATGTACTGTATATAAACCCCACGTATTAAAGAGACAGCTGGCACAATGTAATTAACATCAAAATAAATTCACAAGAGCAAGTATATTGTTTCCACATGTTTATTTACATTAAAGGCAAAATAACTGAAATAATAAGAGCACAAGTATAGATCTGGAACTTCTTTAAGTCTGTCTAAATATCATTTAGTAATTGCAATGTCTTCTGGTCCATATCCTTTCCTAAGGAAGGTGTGCTAGACACTGATTAATGTAACATAAAAATACTATACATATTTATATATTTTGCTTTTGAATTGTGGAGTGACACTTTCATAAAATTTTCTATATTCCTCTGATTATATAATGGTAAATATTACAATAACATAGCACAACAACAGTGATCAGCAATAATGATAAGCCTAATACTCACAATCAAGATAATAAGGCCATATAGATCATAACACAGTCTCGGAGGTAAGAAGTGGATTATCCTTCACCCTTCACCTGAAATGTTTGTCTTTTCATCCTGAAATGCGAGGCAAATGTTGCATCACAATAATTAGGAACCACAGTTTCCACAAATCCCTTCACTCGATTGGGATGTTCTCTTTTATTCTGGAGGGCAAGGGCAGTGACTGTAACATCGAGCATATTTTGCAGTATTAAACACGTATTTATACCGATTTCATCAGGCTATGAAAATTTTTCAAAAAGAACACAAAGAATGGCCTTCTCAGCTGCCATAGTTGCAACTCTTGCGTCATCAGAAGTGTGTTCAACGCACCACCGTTTCCGTTTAAAAAACGTTTTGCACCGTTTTGTCGGGGCTGAACTCAGCCCTGATGATGGCACGGTTTGATCTTCGGCTGACCAATCAGCAGAAAGGGGCGTTTAATTTCAGACCAATTGTAGAAATCGAATATTCAAGCTGTTTATTAATTTTCCTATCCCTGAATGAAAAACTAAAATTTAAGCTGAATTCTCGTAAAAGGAGCTGTTTTCTCATTTTTCCACTTTCAATATTAAATTAAAAAAACGAATGAATGAATGATACACGAATTCAGCACATATATTTTTCTCCTTTTTTATGTTTTAACATTCCTCATTATAAGTCACTTTACTAAATGAATACAGGTAAATCTAGCACTTTTTTTACTTTATGTTGATATAATTTGATAAAATTTTAAATAATAAAAAAGATAAATATATAGGCTACTAGCCACTGGTTTTGTGTAATGTTTAATTCATGTGATGGGGTAACCTGAAATACATGACAATACTGTACATCCTATACATAGAGCTAGATAAGCCATATACAATACGTTTTCTTCAGAATAATATCTGTTTCTGTCCAGTTAAAGCCATGGAAAAATGCAAGGCTCAGCGTGAGACCCCAGCAAACAAATGCAATCGACCACCCGCTCTCCTAATACTTTGTGCCTGTATGCCGAACAGGACGGTGCTGATTCAGTTAACTAGGTCACTCGCACCCTCGATCTTAATTCACCGAGCAGAACTTTGATTTCTGGCAGCTCAACAAGGCCCCCACAGAAACAGGCTCATTCAATCACTGGCTGTTTCCAGGCACCTGTTCAGAGGTGAATGCGTGCAGCTGAGGATTGGATTAGCTGACTTATTCTTGCACAAAGTGCCTGAATCAAATCAATCAGAGGCCTTTCCTTCCCTGCTCCTCATCTGGGACTTCCTCGGAATTGCAGCAGATGAAAGACTTGCCTGCCTGTTCCCTGGCTATTTCTAACAAAACGCCACAACAGCCTTTGATGGACCTCAGAATTTGGCAAGAGAAGAGAGTGTTATGGGATGTTTAAATGCTTTTCAGTGTATAGTTATACTCTATACTTCATTTATTCACATGCTTCTCTTTATTTCAGCTTTAATGCATGATGGAAAAGAATGAAAAAATAAAACTACCATGAATAAATCTGCAAAGGTGCTATTAGATTTCATGATGCACGAACAAGCAGTTATGGAACTGCTTACTGCTAATGCACACTACATACAACAAAATAAGCATGGAATAGATCAATTTTAACAGGCAGCGAGGCTGACAGGATCTGTCCTAGACTACAGTTATTCCACATGATCTGGTTCCTCTGCAATCAGACGGAAGTGCAGGAGCGGGTCAAGTTCTTTGAGTTGATATTTCCAGGTTTACGCATTGCTGAATTAACTCAATTGGATACAACAAAGTTCATCGACCTGTTTACGAAAAATCTCACAATGCAACATCCTGTTAGCATCAAAGACAGCAATGGAAGAGGAAAAATAAAGATGAAGAGAATGAGGAAAGAAAAAGCTAATTTTATTCCAGTTTAAAGTACATCTTCATCTCCAGAACTACCACTCCATTAGATAATGATGTTGCAACAGAAACATTTTCTCTCAAATACAGAAAATAAAGAAATATATTTAAATAAATAATGCTGAACACAACAACTTCAACCAGCTACTTCTTGGCACAATGTACTGTATAATTTGCATACATATACTGGCAATGGTATAAATATAGCCTACTTTATGGTCTTTTTTCATCATAAGTCACATCTGTTTGGGGGGGAAATAAATAAAATGTACCTTCCGCACGACACATTTGTAAAAGTGCAAAAAACCTTACAGTACATGTGGCAGCAGATACACCTACTGATGACATTTTGACAAATATTTCATCATGCTCATATGCGTTTTAGAGTACACGTAAAAAAGTAATGCTGGATGTACGCAAAAAGAGACCAAACATGTATTTCCAAAGACACAAGTTGTGCCCAAGCTTCCATGTTCTTTAACAGTGTTGCTCATGGCATGGCAATGCTACCTTCGCATGAAATATTCAGTACGTGACCACCGCTGCTAATACTCCAGATTTTAAGCATCAGTTGTTTAGTTACTTGACCGAGGTGCTTTATAATGACAAAACGAAAGGCACAGCCTCAGACCCAGTGTCTTTTACGCTGTCCTCATCAAATCAATAGCACATCTGACAAAATTTCTGAATATTATTTCAGATAAGAGCATCAACCACCTGTTTCATACTCCACGCCAGCCCTTTAATATCTGGGATCGATAATGCAGTATGTTTCATTTCTGTAATGTCTCATCTCTCCATAACCGTCTCTTTCGTACACGTTTATTAGATCTTATTGCTATTGATCTGAAACTTTTCATGTGCCAATTCTTTACATCTGTTTCCTTTTACCTTTTCATTGACGGAACACAAACACATCATTGTTACAGTGGATATAAATAGTGGCCTGACTGTCAGCTGACATGACATGCTCACCCCTGTTGTGCCTCCAGTCCACTAGGGGCAGCGTGTGGAGAGTCCTTTCATGACGATAATCACTTTTGGCTCTCTGCCGCTTGTTTCGAAACGTATTCAGCCTCTTACACAGTCACCTCTGTCTTACTGTTGGTTACAAAGTAGGGTTGCGTGGGAAGGTAATGATGACTGCGGGCAGTGTGTAGCTCATTAACCTGCTCCACCGTGCACATCTTCCTAGGGCCGTAGGTTTTGCGTCGGCCCGCAGTCTCTGCAGCCTCCCAGCTCCTCAGCATGCCGGGGTTTGCGATGGTATTGGAGCTGTAGGCCATTGCGGGATGGGCCACATTGGGTTTAATGCTCTTGGGCTTCTGTCCATTTTGCTTGAGGCACGGGACCTCTGTGACGTAGGAAGCTGTGGGCTCCACGTGCTCCATTCTGACTGGATGAAGTGGCAGGCTTCCCTTAGCTGCCAACTCGACCAAGTGGCGGTGTTGCTTGTTGAGGAAATCACCATTGGCTTTGGCTGCTGATAGCAAGATAGAGAGGAAGAGTGAGGGTAGTTGAGATATCATGAGAAATAAATTTACTTTCAATTAAAAGAGGTTGATTTATACTCTATGCAGACCAAAAATGCATTAATTGAAATTATGCAGCAAAAATAAGCAGTCACTGGTAGGTATTGATATAGATGCTATTATTCCTAAATGAAAAATTTAATGAAAAAAAAAACTAAACTAAACAGGACTGTTTTGATGCAACAAAACTGTAGTTAAGGTGGACACTGTGTGCCAACTGTAATGGCTATTTTTGGCTGAAAAAAAAAACAATTGTAAAACAAAAGCTATTGTGATATCAATAAAATCATGGCAATTATGAAAAAGACAGATAAACGAGTCATATCATAATTTTTAATTATATATTATTAATAGTGCTGTCAAACGATTAATCGCGATTAATCGCTTCCAAAAGAAAAGTTTTTGTTTGCATAATATATGTGTGTGTTCTGTGTATATTTATTATGTATGTATAAATACACACACATGCATGTATATATTTTGAAAATATTTATATGTATTTACATGTCTATATTTATATTCATATAATTGATATTACAAATAAATATATTTAGTATATAAAAATAACATTTTTCTGAAATATATACATGCATGTGTGTATTTATATATACATAATAAATATACACAGTACACATACATATTATGTAAACAAAAACTTTTATTTTGGATGCAATTAATCGTGATTAATCGTTTGACAGCACTAATTATTAATAAATAAATAAATAAATTTTGTTTTATGTATTTAGTTAGATTTTGTTCGATTTTTAAGAGATTTTTTCTCCTAATTCATATAAAAAATTTATATTTAAAAAGAACAAATATAATAAAAATACAGTATGTCTCATTTAAATCTTAACATTATGAAATCTTGAAATATGTAATTATATTATTTATGACATGACATATTAAGGTTACACTTAATTTTGATAGTTCACTTTAGACATGCTACTAACTATAAGTAACTTTGCAACTAAATGTCAACTAATGCTCATTAATTTGCAACTACGTGTCTACTAACTCTCAGAGTAGACTGTTAGGTTAGGTTTAGGGTTAGTAGAATAAGTTGGCATATACAGTACTTGCAAAGTTTCTCATAGTCAGTATGTTGTATATGTTGTGGACCCATCAAAATAAAGTGTTAGAAGATATTAAGCAGACAATCTGCTAATATTCTAATGACTGCTAGTTGACATGTAGTTGCAAAGTTACTTACTGTTAGCAGAATGTCTAAAGTTGACTATCAAAATAAAGTGTTACCCATATTAAAATTGCAGTGGAAATTAGAAGTGGAAGTAGCAACAGATCTTTTTTTTCCGTATTGTGTCGAAAAAATTATCTGATTATCCGTCATTTGTTGAATGGATGGTCAAATTTCAGAAAGCTTTTTATAATGACATGGTACATAGATTATATAGTATACAGAGAATATAGTAGGTCTCTTGTTTCAATGAAAGATAGAATTATGACATTTTTATGACAAATTATAGCTTAAAAAGTTTTATCCATGCATGTTTTTTTATTTTTTAAAAAGATCTATTTTTCTATTGTTCCCTGCTGGTGGATTGACCTGCCAAACTCGATTCGAGCAGCTGTGACTTTAGCCATCTTCAAGAAATGGTTAAAAACACATCTCTTCCATCTATACTTGACCCTCTCAGACTAACACTCTCTATTCTATTTCTGTTCTGTCTACTTGTTCACTTTTTATTTATTATAAAACGCTTGACCCTCTAAAACTAACACTCTGTATTTTATCTATATTCTATCTAATTGTTTTCTTTTTATTTATAAAAAAATTGACCCTCAAGCCCTAGTAAAAATTTAATATATTTAAAATACATTTATTTCATAATAAGTATACTGACATCGCTCAAAATTACTGATATAAAAATTATAATTAAACTTTATTTGGAGTACTACTCGTGCACAATGCACATTTCTTAATATTATGCCACGAATGTATTTTAATGTCACGATTGATGTCTGTATGATCTTTAAATATTGGTCTTTAAATGTGAGATATTTAAAGTGTACCTGAAGTATACTTGCAATAGTTCCACTTTAGCGCAATCAAATATACTACAGTATATCTTTAGTTGGACTTCAGCACTACTTCCGCACAATTAAAGTGGATTAAGTACAAAATTAGTTGTTCCAATTTAGCAGACTTTAACTATACCAGTTTAGTATACTAAAAGTACATGTAAATTTATATGTAAATGCATTTGTGGTATACTTGGCATGAAATAAATACATTTTAGTTTATTTATTTTTCACTAGGGAACACTAGGATTCTCTATTCTTTTTCTCTTCTATCTACTTGTTTTCTTTAACACTCCAAAGAGAAAGGAAAAATTGAAATCGCATCATATGACCCCTTTAAAAAAACTTGGTGTGTGTATTGCATTAGTCACAGCACTTACACATTGTTGCTCTTATGTTGGTTTGATTGCTTCTATTGTCCTCATTAGTAAGTCGCTTTGGATAAAAGCATCTGCTAAATGACTAAATGTAAATTTAAATGTAAAAAAATAATAATAAAACATATGCATGGATGAATTATTCACAATAAAAAACAGCTGGTACACAGTGCACTAGTAAGGTCAGTGACCCACCTTTCCTTCAGAAACATTAGCAACTGAACGCACGAGTTTAGCACACAAGCAGTTAAGGTTTTCAATCTGTGGTCAGTTAGGCCTGTCACGTTCCTTTGGGAGATGCGTCCTTTTACCAGGTGATTCATGTTTGTAAAGGAATCATTACTCTTAGAGTACCAGGCATCCTAGTGTGACTTCCTCAGTCTGCTTTTGATGGTCGGCCGCTTTGACGACCTTGAAGATAAACTTTTCACGCTTAAAATGAGTTTGGTCTTCGGTGTGATAATAAATCTTATTTATCACTCGTCTGCCCCTGTGGGAGAAGACGAAGATGTCATGCACAGTGGACATTTTTCCACCGTTGCGCCGCTCACTATATCAGATACACGGATCATCACAACAGACGGGTGAATCAATTACAGTGCTCAACTGTGCACATCCTCAAGAGCCATAATCAAGATGAATCGTGGTTTTGTAACTAGTGCCCCCAGACAGAGTTCAAATATCTATCGGCTCGCAACTCCACGCATGCAGTTAGTGCCATTAGGATCTCAAAGGGTTTTGGTGGGAGGATATTCTGGTACAGGCCTTTATTAGACGCTCCACTTCTCTATGTCGGGTGGAAATCCAATTCTGTGACCTTAGAGATGTGTTTGGGGACTGAGAGAGAAGTATTGATTTGCAGAATTGGGACTTATCAGCTCTAACAATTCTGTACCTTTGAGAATTTTCATGGAGGAGGTAATTAAATAAGAAAAAATAACTATGACGCCAGAGGGTGAGTTTTTCTTAGTTCGATGATCTCATATGGTATATGCCATTCATGATGAGGGGAAATTAGAACATTTGGTAGGGGCAGGAAGGAAGCTTGAAGTTACTTCACAGTATAAATAGGGATGTAATGATGCACCCTGAGACGGATGAAAATCTATACAAATACGTGACAAATCGAGTCGGTTGAGATTGTAATCGAATCGCAATACAGTTGGGGGTGGAGGTTTATATGAATGTATCTCTGAGGAGAACTGACTGTCTTTAGAAAAGTTTAGATTGTATTTTCTTTTGTTTTTTAATGAGTTTTTCTGAGTTTTCTATTTTGTTTAAATGTTAAAATATTTTATAGTTTAATGAATTTAGAATTTCACAGTCTAGTGCTGCTATCTAATGAAATTGTCATGTTTAATTCAAGTGGGTTGTAAAGATTTCAAGTTAATACAAAAATAAAATAATTTTTTTTCATGCAAAAGTATTGGTTTGATTTCAGTTTTTCATAGTTATGTTTTTTTTCAGTAGCCTGTATATACTATATACACTGTTTAAGTTTGGAGTCAGTAAGTTTTTATTTGATTTTATTTTATTTCATTTAATTTCATTTCATTATTTCATTTAATTTCATATTATTTTATTTTATTTTATTTTATAATGACATTAAATTGCCTATCTAATGAAATTGTCATGTTTAATTCAAGTGGGTTGTAAAGATTTCAAGTTAATACAAAAATAAAATAATTTTTTTTCATGCAAAAGTATTGGTTTGATTTCAGTTTTTCATAGTTATGTTTTTTTTCAGTAGCCTGTATATACTATATACACTGTTTAAGTTTGGAGTCAGTAAGTTTTTATTTGATTTGATTTTATTTCATTTCATTTCATTATTTCATTTAATTTCATATTATTTTATTTTATTTTATAATGACATTAAATTGCTCAATAATGGCAGTAAAGACATTTATTGTTACAAAATATTTCTATTTCAAAAACATTTTGTTCTTTAAAAAAAAAATTAAGCACAGCATTTTAACACTGATAATAATAAGAAATGTTTCTTGAACACCAATCGTCATATTAGAATGATTTCCGAAGGATCATGTGACACTGAAGACTGGAGCAATGGCTGTTAAAAATTACATTTTAAGATGTATTCAAATAGAAAAGCAGTTATATATACAATATGATTGCAAGAATGCAACTGTAATGAAGTACAGTGATTCCTCTTCAATACAAATCCAGTGATAAAACAGCTCTCAAAGCCTCTCATTCTGGGATTCGTTAATCATTTGTAAAATATTCTGCGGTAAATGCTATGTTCAATAAAAGGAATAATTTATGAGTTTTCACAGGAAAGATCCACACGAGAGTATAACACCGACATGCTAAATGATCCTTTTGAGTGTACATCCTTACCCACAGCCTTCAGTGAGGCATATTTGTTGAGCGCTTTTGCCGATTGCTGTTGCTCATAGACATGGGACAGCTGGCTGAGGGCTGGATACGGGTGTGTTTGCATCATGTTGTTTATCTGGCCGCCTTCTGCAAACAAAAGAAAATATTGTTAAAGGGTTGCATCATTATTTTGTCTTAATTTACAGCATTTTCTTAGTCATCTCTAATAATATGTCTTGCTTCCTGCTGACTAACGTCACTTGGGATTCGCTCGCCACTGATAACAAAAGACAAACAGACACCTAAAGGCTCTAAAACTTTCTGTACATACAGTAGGTCGCAGGCAGACGAAAAAAGAATCAGACTGAACGGATCCGATAACGAGCTGTTTGATGTGTGTGTGCGGCTAGTGTCACAACCCGGTCCAATCTGCCTCCTGTGATGTGACAGTCAAAGAATAAGCGATGGTATGTATATACAACCAGTCCCATTGATTTCCTCCCTTGACTTCCTCTGGTTCATAGAGATGAAAGAGGTGTGACCTGCGTGGCAGAGCTGTCAGCGCAGAGCTCCTGTTGTGACTAATTAATCACTTAGCCCTACAGCAGGGTTGCTGACACACGTCTGTACTGAGCGCGTGCAGTGAATCATACCACACCAGCCATCACACAGATTACTGCTCAACAGAGCTTCAGAAAACACTATAGACTACTGTACATGCATTAGCGCTTAGTATGCTTGTGTTCTCTAATGTTTTTGTCAAATAATAACAGATTATTTGTCTTTGTTTTGCTATAGCTTGTGGAAAATATTATTTATTTGCTAATAGTACATCGTTATTTTCAGTTACGTAATGTTCAAAATTGGATGACTCGGTGAAACAGATACTGAACGCTTTGAGTGCACAGACTCGTACTGTGCAAACTTCACATGAAAGTCTTGACTGATGTACACTACTGTTCAAACAATTTTTTTTTTTAATAAAATGAATACTTTTATTCATAAAGCATGATTTTGTTTGCTCAAAATATTTAGTTTTAGATAAATGTTCTTTTAAACTTTCTATTCATTAAAGAATCCTGAAAAAAAGATGATCATGGTTTCCACAAAAATATTAAGCAGAACAACTGTTTTCAGCATATTAATAAAAGCAGACCAGCATATTAGAATCATTTCTGAAGGATCATGTTACATCAGAGGCATAACTTGCATTGTAAAATATCTACATTAAGTGGCCTTAACTACTATGTACTTACATCAACAACAAAAAAAAAAGTACAATGTACTTATTTTGTTCATATTTTATTGCAAAACACTTTTGCTGCTATTGAGGTGGGATACAGGTAAGGTTATAGGGACAGGTTTGGTGGCTATATGAAACTAATTACAGATGTAATTACATGCAGGTATTTTTTCAAATATAAGTATAATGTAAAAACACGTTATGTACACAATATGTGCATTGTACCATATCATTATTTTAAATGTAAGTACATAATAGTTAAGGCCACTTCATATAAAATGGGACCAAAGAAATTGAGCATAAGAGACTTCTTTGAAAAACATGAAACGTTTGAAAATTTGATTCTTCAATTGGTCCCAATTCTGTCCCCTTAAAATTATTTATAATTTCATTTTAATCTAGTTTTAAAAGACAGTTAGCTATAAACGTTTTTATTCAGTCTCTTTAATTATACATTTTTGATGACTGATTTTTTTATTAGTGTTACATTTGCCAGAATTTAGTTTTATTATTACTCTAAAAAAAGTCACATTTTCATTAATTTGGTATATATACATTTGTTTATGTGTGTGTGTTTTGCCCAAGTCTTAAAGTCTCTAACAGGCAAAGGGCAAAGGTCAGTTGGACATTATTAAGTAGGCTAAGTGTCTTCGTCCCGGTCCTCAGATCTGTGACCTATTCCTTGACCTCAGGCAAACTGTAAGTGGCGAGATGAGCACATAATAGTGCGAGTGGTGAGCCATGTATTTCAAGTTTAGTGAGGTCAAAAAAACAAATAAACTTCACAAAGCCAGAAGAAGCACATATACAATAATAAAAAAGACATAAACACCTCTTTTTTGAAGAACATTTGTTGGATCTTAGGCCAAAACGTTCCTGTTAACCATACATGCTGTTCATTTTGTACACCACAGATTTTGCGGCCTACTCTTTTGAAAATTTGACAGAAGTAGCAGATAAGTGGGAGTGCTCCCATGCCTGGTTCTATTCAATTTCCTTGGTATCTTAGTGTTTGTTTTGTTTTGTGTAAGAAGCTGACTCATCTCCACTGGGAGAACTTCCTCCTAAGTGTTTGGTTGCAAATTGCCTTTACACCTTCTTCTCCTTGTGCTATCGCTCTCGTCATGGCAACACAAGTGTTTGTGCTCTGTTTGCGGTGCATGCAGCCAGCCTCTTGTATGGTTTCCACCACCCACGTGCTAAGAAAGCTCAGTGTTTGCAATTGATGGACCTTCGGTGTTTGTTCTCATGTTTTTAAATACCCCATCTTTACTAGCCCGCCGAACAAGGAAACATTAACATGCATTAATTAGCAATTGTTATCTGCTGCTGCAGTGTGATGGAGAGGGTTTAAATACAGGCATGTAAAGGGCCCATCACAGCCCACAGTGGATAGTCCCTATCAAGTGGATCTAATACAGACCTGTAGGGGCAATTCGAGAATTTTAGTCTAAGTGCGCTCAGCCTCCGACCTGAGCATGAGCTCATGTAGCTCAGAGGAACTTTTCTTTCTTGAGGTCTGAGAGGTTGCGAGCATGAATCTTGCTCAACAATATGACAATATGTCAGCCCGTGTTTATGGGAGTTTTATTTTATTTTCTGTGACACATCACTAACAGCTGTGTGATGTCACCTATATATCCAGGTCTGCTTTGACTGGAGGGAAGGATGCTGGTGTGAAGTTTCATCCTGAAGAAAAGATTCAGAGAAATGACAGCTTACAGCAGTTGCTGTTTTCAGCAAATTTGAAGAGAAATAACAGATTTTTATAAGTGGTGACAGCTGAGTTTGTCACAGTTTTTGAGTGAGGTAATGAGTTAAAAGAATAAATATAGTCTATGCAAACTTGCCTGCTATATTTATCTAGTGGAGAAGTATGCATGTATATAAATAATGCGTGTGTATCAGGACACAACAATAAGAATAGTGTGCTGGCCCTGGAGAGTGTTTATGAATTTATAATTAGATTTTGTATAATTTCTTTTTTTACAACTTTTTTAAAATAATGCAAATTTTAGTAATCTATTTTTTAAAAGAAAAATAAGGTAACATTTTACTATAGGGACCAATTCTCACTATTAACTTCTTGTTTATAAGCATGCCTATTATTAACATATTGGCTGTTTATTAGTACTTATAAAGCACATATTCTTCATGACCATATTCTACATCCCTAATAACAACTACCTTACTAACTATTAATAAGCAGCAAATTAGAAAAATTTTTAATGGCGAGAATTGGACCTTAAAATAAAGTGTGACCAAAAATAATGTTTACATACATCTTGTAGAATCTGCAAAATGTTAACAATTTGACCAAAATAACAGATGTTTACATTAGCCCACAAAGGCAAAATAATATAGCTGAATTCAGATGACCCCATTTAAAGGTTACCCATCTGTTATCTGAAAGTAGTTTGGCTGCTTTGGCAATTAAACTGCTGTTCTTCAGAAAATCTTCCAGATCCTGTACTGTCTTTGGTTGTCCAGCATCTTCTGCATATTTAAACCCTTTCCAGCAGAGACTGCATGATTTTAAAAATCTTTTCACACTGAGAACAACATAGGGGACACAACTATTACAAAAAGATGCAAACATTTACTGATCCTCAAGAAGGCAACACTGTGCATTAAAAGCTGGGGGTGAAAACTATTGAACAGGATGGATGTGTGTAATTTTGTTTTGTAAAAATAGTTTAAAATGTACTGTATTTCAATATGACTGCATTTCAGAAGCTAAATATGGTAGATGTTTCCCAGAAGACAAATTAAGTACAATTTGCCCTGATCATTCAAAAAGGTTTCAGTCCTCTCCTCAGCTCTTAATGCATCATGTTGCTTTCTTGAGTATCAGTAAATGTTTGCTCCTTTTGTTAACAATAGATGTGTATGAATTAAACTTATTTGAACTTTTGAATTGGTTTATTTGCATAAATTCAGTTGTTATTTTGTCTTGAGGACTACTGTATATGTAAACATCTATTATGTGAAATAGCTTATGAGAAAAACAGTACTAAAATAAATAAAGAAAACATGCAAAATCTTTGATCCCTCTTATTTTCTTAAAATTATTAACATTTTGCAGAATCTGCAAGGTTTATGTAAACATATGACCACAACTATACTCTGTTTAAGTGGCAGAGGCACAATTTATTACATTTATTTTGCATTTAACTGACTTGATTTGCCCAGCACTGTTTGGCACTATTAATAACAACCATTCAAACAGACAGATAGCAGCAGAGGTAGAATAGAAGTATAAGCTGCTCAGAGAAAGTTAGGTCACAATTCATTTGAAATGTGAGAAGAGGGCACAATCCTGTGAAACTGCTGCGGATGAGGAATAGAGAAGCAGAGTGTGTGTATGAAAGCTGTTTGCTTCTATCAGGATCCACTATTGTGTTCTAAATGGGCTGGCCTGTGGATGGCAGAACGTTTGCTTTCTTTAAAAAATGAGGTTTTTAAAATTTCTTTAAAAACCCTTGATCATATAGGTTTGCTTTTAGTGCTGGACCTCTTGCCTTCTGTGTACAGCTACCCCACACTGCAGGACACATGACAAGAGGAGAATGATAATGTGTAGTTTTATGTACACTTACTGGTCAAAAGTTTGGAATAATTAAGATTTAAAAAAAACAATAAATGTCAATAAAATGAAGTCACTTATACTCACAAAGGCTGCATTTGATGAAAAATAAAGTAAAAATAGCATTACTGTGAAATGTTATCACAATTTAAATCAACCGTTTTTAAATATATATTTACTTTTTTTTTCTTTCTTTTTTTAATATGATGGCAAAGCTGAATTTTCATCAGCCATTACTCCAGTCTTCAGTATCGCATGAATACTGCAAAAAGAATCACGGTTTCCCAACATATTTGGAAAACAATAATAATAAGAACC